TGTAGCTGGAGAGAAACGTTTTGTGTAAAACATTACAATTTGCTTCATGCAAGCCGGTCTGTTATATGCTTTCATTAACGTGATGAGCACTGAAAGCAAGGTTCAGGGTCTTTACATTTTTAATCCTTCATGGAGGAAGATGTGATAGTAATTACAGCATAACAACTTTGTTTTGTTTTCTTATGCCAAGAGGGGGGGCAGGGAAGAAGACATGTTAAGAATGTAGCCTCAAGGTATCTTTAACTGAAAATTAATCTGGTACAGCATAAGACAGAATAAGAATGAAAATAAATTAAAATTCGGTAAATGCAGGTACAAACATCCCTTAAAGATCTTTTCAACAATATATACATTAATTAGAAAGCTTTTACCTCTAGTTGGTATCATATATTGTATTGTCATTGGATGCCAATATGGTATATTTTGCCAAGTATTAAGTATTAAGATAATTTATCTTTTTTTCTCCCCCTCAGTCTTCACAGTTGTTTTTGGACTGGGATTGTAGAGACTGATAGAATAGTAGATTTTCCCCCCCCCTTTCTGATAGCCTAGGAGCTGGTGATAGGTACGGGAGCCTCCAGCAGGACACTGGAGAAATGGATTGAAATGTAAACATGAACATTCTTGCAGCCAGCCCTGGAGGTTGAGTGTGAGCAGCCTCAGAGGCCACCTGATAGGAGTTTTGCTACTGAGAATCTAGAATATTAGCAATTGAGAGACATACAGGCCAGGAGGTCTAAACTACCCCAGGTTTTCTGCAGGGATTCTGGTCTGTTTTTGAAGTGAGACACCTGTAATCCATCCAGAATAGAAGGAATTAGGTTAATGGAAAGTGTTTGCTTGTTTATTTTTATGGAGAAATGCTATTACGTTTGTATATAAAATATATGTTAAAATTCTGATAACATTTTACATTGATACTAACTTATTTTTTTGTGGATTTCTTTTGGTGTGAAGAATTCTTAAATTTCACAGCTATGATGTAGCTTTGGATTTGAATGCTAATGTTAGTTGAAAGAAATAAAGGCAGACTGAGGAAATCCTGGTTACGATAAAGGATGTGAATTTAAAGTTGATTTTTTTGTTGTCATTTTACTGTTAATTTTTATTTCAAGTGAGTTTAGCCTTTGTCTGAAATGCATATTATCCTGAAGCAGGAGCTTTTTTGTTGTTGTTAATATAAAACTAGGTAGATTGTTTATGAATTTTCATGTGTGTATTCCATTTCAGCTTTCAGTAGCCCCTTTTGTAATGCCTGCTTTAACTTGTTTATTATTTGGTTTCTTTCTTTATCTTCACAAAGTATTACACAGGCCTTCAACAGAATAAGAAAAGAACAAAGGTGAAAGTATTTAAATTTGATCTAAATTTTCTTCAGGCAGTAGAAAACTCTTTAGTATAATAACTTTTTACTGTAATTGCATCTCTGATTACCAGGATGATCCTATAAATAGTTGTATTTAGGAAATCACAATACACAGCACAGACGGAATTTAATTTCCGTGGAAACTGCTTGTTTTCTCTCTTTTTCTCTTCCCACCTTCCTTCTCTGCTGTCCCCTTCTGCATTTCCTTCCCAGCCAACCAACCAGAGTAGAGATGATGGCATTTTAAATATCGATCGTTGTCAAGATTTTTAAGGCAAACTTGTGTGATTGCATGCCTAGCACAGGGGAGACTATTACAGTTAGTGTGTGCTTAGCGCCTTCTAATATGTAGCCAATTTGCATGTTGCCAAAGCCCTAGAGACGTCTCCTGAACGAATGACGTTACTCCTTATGCTCGTCTCACTTTCTTATCATCTCTGGTGTCTCTTTGTAACAAGTCTAATGATACAAGAACAGTGCTTTGAAGATACTGAAGAGTTTAGGGAAGGATAATAGGATGTCCTGCTTTTTCCTGTTGCATCGCTTGTTCCCATCAAGCCTGGGCCGCTCATGTAGAGGCTGAAGGTGGTTTCCACCAAAGAGCTGTCAGGTCCCGTCAGTCCCATTACACCTGCAGTGCTGTACCTGGTACCCGGGTCGGGGCCTTTATTGGCAAGGCCTGAAATGTGGAGACCTGGCTGCTCCCTGACCCTGCGCGGGTGCTTGTAAAAGGCCCTGTGGGTGGGAAGCACCTGCTCCTGTCAACTGTGTGCAGCAGTTGAGTGCTAGGGGTGATGTATTGGTTCCCTTCATTCGCCCAGGTAGATTTAATAAATAATCAATCAAGGCAGAGGCTCTTCTCACCCACCAAAACCAGCGCTCTGCAGTTCCTAACACAGCGCTAAAACAAAAATGCTTCACGGCAGCCATCAGTAGGACATTTCTTGCTCTATCTCACCTTCCTTTTCCTGTTTTTTAGCACCTCAGCTCTCTAGCCCTTTCCCCCCTTGCCTGCTCCACATTAGGCTGGGGAGGCTCATTTAGCACAACTCAGGCACTGCTTCTGTTGCTGTGTGCTGACACACGTCGTGTGGCTGCCGTTCGGCAAGGCTGACAGCGCTCCTGCGTTTGGAGGGGAAAAAAGCCCTGCTGGGTTTGCTGATTGGGAGTGAGCTATTGCCTTGTAGTGGCTCGCTGGAAACAAGGGATGTGGTAATGTGCGTTGCTGGTAATAACGCAGCTAATGAGATGCAAGAAATACATGCTGTTGTGTTTGGGCCCAAGGCCATTTTGATGTGACAGTACCTTATATCTGCTAAGAAAAATTATACACGTTTGAAAGTAATCACTTCAAGGCTGTGGCTGACAGTGCAGTCGAGTGAAGTACTCCTGAATCTCCAGATAAGGGCTGCTTTAAATAAGGGTCACAGTTCACCTTATGCATTGTCATATGTATAGATGTTTGTCCAAAAGTTGGGCATGTCTAACAGCATCTATTGTACCCAGAAGATTTATTCCCACTAGGAGTGGTGTGTACTCTTGGCATTTAAAAATCCTCTGACTTTACAAAAAAAGTTAATTGCAAGGTAGTCAGAATGCTTCAGGAAGATGTAGCTTCCCTTGTGCATGGGAGTGATGTCTTTGTTGCAGGTTTGGTCACAGTGAGAGCTTTGGACTTTTATTGCTTCTGTCCCATATGACAAATGTCATAGATCTGTCATTAAGACTTATTTTATAGCAGGCTTGGAGACTACCTAAAATTATTCAAATCTGAAGGTGTTTAGGGTTTGGGGGTGGGGTTGGTAAAAATGGTTCCAGAATTAGAATACCTTTATTCTTGGTATAGGAGCTTGTTGTGTCATTCTGGCTTTGCTGTTTGGCTCTTAGGTTTCAGCTGTAAATTAGATTACAGTAGTCTTTTGTAAGATGCTTAGTTGGTGCATTTAATTAGAAGCAAATATATACCTGACTCCAGACAGAGATAAGAAAGAAAAGATAGTATGTCCTACTTTTCAGTGCAAAATATCAAGAAATAGGAAATTTTGTGTAGTGTAGAATTGGGACGCTAGAGTGACAAGTAAGGCAATGCATGTGTTTTTTCTCAGGAGCAGAAAAAAATAGAATCTTTAAAGATAATGCATATTTTTCCAGAAGCTAAGGTGAAAGAGCGGTAATGACTCCAGTCTCTTTGTACTCAGAATCATTGGCAGAAGACACCTTCAAGTTTTTTGCTTTAATATACTCTTCTGTTATGTCTTAACAGAAAATATTTGGAAAATAAGAGTATTTTTGTCCTATACTAAACCACTTCAGTTACCAACTTCTTTGCAAAAGGGATGCATACAGTGTGGGGGTGTTTTCTCAGTAAATATACAGATAATGACTCTCTTCCCTGCCAGAAGAAAATTGGGAGGCCAGTGATCATAGTGTACCCTATACCTGATGGAGTAGTAGAACTGTGTACCAATCCTTCACGCTTTCAGTGCGGGAGAGGGGACGGCAATCTCCAGTGTTCAGTGGAGCTGGTGTACAGGGGGATACACATGCACCCGTGCAGTTAGGAAGAGAAGAGGTGAGAAGAAGCGTTTGTGTAAGTGGTACGTGTGTGGCCCTGCTTTGAGCAGTGTGTTGGTCCGGATGACCTCCAGGGTCCTCTCCATCCTAAGTTTTTCTCTGATTCTGAATAAAATATCCGTAAGAATTGAGCTACTTAATTCCAGTTCTGAGGAACCTGGGTACAGATAATTAGCTTCTACATCACAAGAACCTGGAAGAACTGTCTTCAGTAATGTTTGTGCTGCATTTTTGTGATGGCTAATGAGCATGTGTTTGTATATATATACATAAAATATATGAGTATACTCCTTTAATTTTGTTTATGAACCTGGAGACAGACGGTGACCCAGTTTACTCAGAAATGATACCATTACCATGGCAGAAGATCAGTAGAACTCTGTTTAATGGCACTGCTTATAATACAAACAATAGCTTAATAATTATCATAATAATGAATCATGAAAAGTAAATCTAAGGATTTCTTTATAGTGAAACTATTTGCCGTTAGAGTATTTTTCTGATGGTTTGAAAAAGTGAAATGGAAGAGACGGCTGGACTGCGAATGGACCGACTGCTCTCTCGGTTTGAGATGTGCTGAGACTGAAAATGATGGAGATCATAAATGAGCAGGTAGCAGCCAGGCTTGTGCTGTCGGTTTGAGATGTGCTGAGACTGAAAATGATGGAGATCATAAATGAGCAGGTAGCCTCCCCACTTGTGCTGGCATTCTCCCCACTTGTGCTGGCATTCTCCCCACTTGTGCTGGCATTCTCCCCACTTGTGCTGGCATTCTCCCCACTTGTGCATGGTGATGTAGAGCCCTACAGGTACGGAGTGTTAAAAGGCTGCTAAGATCTAGCCACAGACCTGAGTAAGGATTCCATCTCTTGGCCGTCTCAGCATCAGCAGTCAGCCTGGAAATAGGACACCTGTGTTGTTCCCCCATATGATTCCCCAAAGTGGGTGCACTGTATTTGTTCCCCGTAAATAAATACGAAGCTTTGATCGACAAAAGCTTTTTTCACAAAAGCTACATGCAAGCAATGTGTTTCACCATTCATTTTCTTCCCTGTGTTAGGCAAGCAGTGGTTAAAGGCTCCCTTCCACATCCTTTTGCTTTGACGCTGTTTGGGGACACGTTGTACTGGACTGACTGGAACACGCATTCGATCTTGGCCTGCAGCAAGTACTCTGGGGAGGACCTGCGTGAAATACATTCCAACATCTTCTCTCCCATGGATATCCATGCTTTCAGCCAAAAGAGGCAGCCAAATGGTAAGCTGTCTTGCTTTCTTTTTTTAACTGCGAGTTGGAACTGATTTGCAAAAATCTTAATTAGTCTTTCTGTATGGTGGTGGGTGGCTTCACTTGCGTCATGATGCAATTTTTCCAATGCAGAGACTGGGAGAAGACCCAGAGAGAAACCAAATATGCTCTACATAGTTGGTTTTTTTTTGAAGTGAAAAAAAGAACCCAAACCTCGGAACCTCTTGTTTTTTTCTCTGCCTGCCACACTTACTCTGTTGTTGTGTTCCTTTTCCAGTTTCATGTGCCATAACTTTAGGCAACATGGTATTTTTTATCTTTCCATTCAATAGCTACCGAATGGAAACTACTAACTACTGAACACTATTTGGAAAGTAGTGTTAATTTAGCAGGTGATGTTAAGCAAGAGTATATCTCTGTGATAGCCATTGTGTTAATTTAATATGTATATATATACAACCTGCTATATATTCAGCACTGACATGCTGAATAGTTTGTGAAAATGAGAAGAGCAGAGCTGAAACAAGGCTAAGTGCTACTTTCTTGAGAAAGGAAACATTCAACATCCATGCATCCATGCATTTTGGTACCATAAATACCCCGCTACTCAACACTTGGAATTAATTTTTCCTTGTTCTGTGTTTATCATTTTCTTCTTTAATCTGTGTTGCTGCCACCGATTCTACCACTCAAATGCTGTGTGTGTCTTAACAGATGAGATGAGGTCATTCACTATCAGAAGCATTAATTTGTGTGATTTATGTTTAACAGCTACAAACCCATGTGGAATTAATAATGGTGGCTGCTCCCACTTGTGTTTGATGTCTCCTACCAAGCCCTCTTATCAGTGTGCATGTCCCACTGGTGTGAAGCTTCTTGAGAATGGAAAGACCTGCAAAGATGGTAGGCTTCATTTTTAAAAATCCTTTTAGATTAAGTGCAAAGTAGTTTTTGGAGGGAAAGGGGTTCTTCTAGCTTCAATATATAATGCATGTTAGGGGTGGCAAATTGTGAAATCCTGCATGTGTTTGCAGTGCAGATAAAAGTGATTGGAAAATGCCCTGTACTTTTCAAAAAAGAAAGAAGCTGATGGCTGAAGAGCAGGTTACCTCCAGTTATAAAATTTAGATTGCAATTATATCTCTATCACTAACTTCCTGCAAGTATTGGGAGGCTCTTGTTCCCTTTCTTAGACAAAAGAATACCTGCCTCCTTTGTTTCTAAAAATATTTCTAACATTATTTTTCATGCATTAGTTTTTGGCTAATAGGATTGTACAATGAAAACAATTATATTTTGAAGATCTGATGTCCTTTTATTATACATGCATACACCTGGCCTCTTTCAGTTCACACGCATAAAATTAGACACCTACATCTGTATACATAAACTGAAAAGAATGGCATGGTTTTTAGAGGTGCGGAAAGTGTTTCAGCCTTAAAACCCAAGATATGTTCAAAACTTAGGGCTGCTAGCACTCACCCTTAACTGCTTTTAGTAAACGTCTCGTTGTGGGCTAATGCATACAATTTTAAGTTGTAATATTTTAGCATAGGTCTTGGGACGTTGTGCTGTGTCTGCTGTAGTACATTAACAGTACCAGAATAAACACTGGGAGAAAATTAGCTCGCTCATACATAACCGTCTTTTATGCAGATCATCTCTCTATGACAAAGGTATATGGAGGAAGAAACAAAGATACAGCAGAATTTACTGTAGATAGGCTAAATAAAATGTATACAGAAATAATTTCTGTTAAATTGTTATTTTATATTTTTAAAATTCCTCTAGGCTTGTCAGCTACTGTTCAGTGTTTTCTTTAATTTCATGCTATTTCATGCTCTCTGCTGATTATTTTTGTGTGGCTATTTGTATCTGTGTGAACCTTGTTAAAATAAATTGCTGCTTTTATGTGAAAAACTCAAAAGCAGCTCCCAAATGAGCCTTGCAGAATTGCTGGTAAGAACTTACCAATACACACACAAGATATTTTTCTTCCATTTCTGCCAGAACAGCGAACAAGCTTTAATAACACCTCTCTGGGTTGGTCATATTTAGTCAGAATGGGATACCAGTTCATGTGCTTCTTTAAAAAATAATTGATCACATGGATAATCTCCTTTGTGGCAGCAGATAGCTAAAGTGATTGTTACCCAGTGGAGGCACCTTTCCAAAAGCAGAGCTGCACAGGAAGTCCATGTTGGGGACAGGGAGTGGTGAAGGTTTGGTCACTTGCCAGGCTGGGATAGGAAGATAAGGCATAAGATAAGGCTTGAAGGACTAAGGACAACAGTTGGAACAAGTCCTGGAGAGATCACAAGAGAGAAGTTGCTTCCCTTTGACTTACTGCTGATAGGAAAAGGGCCGTGGACTTCAGACAAGAGTGATTGTATCTTTTTACTCCCCACGTGCTGTTTCCAGCGAACAGATCTTTGTATTGCAAAAGCACCCGCTTCTCTGCTCTGGTTCAGGCCCATGTCCTTGTGGAGGCAGCCTAGCACACAGGTTAACTGCCTTGGGCTGGAGAATGGCACCTTTCCAGTGTATTAGAGTAAATTACCAAAGCCTAGTAGGGGAATTATATTAAAAAAAAACAAAACAAAACCCAATGAGAAACCCCCCAAACGTTATTAAAAGGATTTTAACTTCTCGTGCAGAGATACTCAACATCATCAATTCACTTTTTCAGCCATGCCTTATGTCTCAGAATTTATAGCTGTTGCTCTTTTCTCCCACTCCGAGAACACATAAGAAGCAAAATTGTACATTCCCATTCACCCATATTTGACTCACAAAATACAGCTCCCACTGTATCAGAAATTTTGTTAACAAATTTACAACAGTATATTGTCAGTCTGTATGCAGAAAACTTTATACAAGAACACTTGTCTTCTGCTTGTCAATATAATGTTGCATTTTTAACCACCATTCTGCTGTTGTGTCGTTCCCAAACACTCTGCCCCTCTCGTTTCCAGAAGAAAAATGGGAGGGGAGGGGAGGCTCCCATTTAGCTCAGTGAGTGTTGCATCCCACTGCTTCTTGGACTTAGAAACGGGTTAGGATATAACCCAAGTGAAACAACCTACACAACTTTGGCTGCTTTTATACTCCTCTCACTGAAAAAAGCTGGCAGGTGGTAGAGTTAGGGCTTTTGCAAGTAATCTACAACTTGCCAGAGCTTCAGATTCAGGCAGAGATTCACTGGAATTTATTCTTAGAGTTGCAAAGGCTCCAATTATTGAT